CAAAACAAAACAAAAAAAGAACACTTGAGGTTCATCCAAGTTGTTGTATAGATAAGTTTGTTCCTTTTTATTGCTACATACTATTTCATGACACACACGCACCAGTCAGTTTGACCTCTGAACATATGAATTATTTCTATTTTGGGCACTTATTCTAGTTTGCCTTTCTGTTGGGAAGGAAAGGGTTTATTTGCCCTGTGCTTCCAGGTTATAATCCATCCCTGAGAGAAGTTAGGGCTTCTCCCCTCCCCCTTTTTTCCTCTGTCTCTGCCAGCTTTCTTATGCAGCCCAGGCCCACCTGCCTGGGTATGGTACTGCCCACAGTGGACTGAGCCCTTCTGCATCAATTAGCAACCAAGAAGATGCCTGACCAGCAGGCCCACGGGCCAGTCTGATTGAGGCAATTCCCTCAACTGGGGCTCGCCCAGATAACTCTCAGCTGTGTCAAGTTGAAGCTGGCTAGGAGAGGGGGTCATTGAGAACAAAGCTACGAACACTTATAACGGGCGTGTTTGCACAGAATTAGATTTTTTTTAATCCGTTATAAACTCCCAGAAGTAAAATTGCTAGAGCACATTTTTAATTTTATAAAAAACCACCCTGAGGATACAGCTCAATTGGTAGAATACTTTGTCTAGCATACAGGAAGCCATGGGTCGGCTCTCCTGCACCTATAAACTGGGTGGGGTGACACAGGCCAGGAGGATCAGGAGTTCAAGGTCATCCTCCTCTATACAGGGAGTCTGAAGTCAGCCTGAGCTAGAGAGCCTGCACAAAACAAATAAACAAATAAACAAACAGCTAACGAAAAATGTCCAGTCCAGAACACCTTACAGTCTCATCAGTAAGCAGCGTTTGAGTTCATAGGATGTGACGTTCATGCTTGCATTGGGTGTCATCTTTGTTTGCTACTTTATTTTGATAGGTGTGTCATGGTATCCCATGGTGGAGTGTGTTTCTTAGGTCTTTGTAGGTTTCCTGTGAATACTTTTCCAGCCTGCCCTGGAACTCTGTGTTACTGACTGAAAAGTGCCTCCCCTGACACTTCACTCCTGGAGCTCAGGAGGCAGAGGCAGTGGCAGGTGGATCTCTGTGAGTTTCCGGGACAGCGGGTGCTACCCAGTGAGACCCTGTCTCAATAAATAAAAACAAGACAAAGGAAAAGAAATGTGTCACTGCATTGAAAATCAGCAAACCCCAAAATCCCTTTTCTGAAAGAACTCGCTTCCTGTTCCTGCAACAAGGCAGCTTGGGTATCGGGTGTCTCAACTATGACACCCGGACCTGGGTTCCTCAGTTCCCCCTTCATCTTCTTGTGCCACCGTGCTCTATCTAGGTTTGGGGGCATCTTTTTAGTTATTTGGTAGGAAAGGGAGAGGGGAGTGGAGACGTGTTTGGGGATTTTCTCTAGCAGAGGCACCACCACCGTCTCCCACAGTCCACCAGGCTGCAATCACCCACAAGTATCTGCCAGGGAAGTCAGGAAATGCAGCCTGTGCCCCCGGGGGAGGAAAAGCACTCAGGGCAGCTGTGTGGTGAGGAATGCCGCGCAGCTCTGCGTCATCATCCTCATCATCTCGGGGAGAGACTAGGTGGCAATCCCCATAAAAGAGGAGGAGATGAGAAGGAAGGGTCCAGGCAGCAGATGCCCACGGGGTTCAAGGGCAGGTGTACCCAGCAGACGAAAGAGACGTGCGGGGTCTGGGCTCATTTTGAAGCCCTCGTTTTTTCCTATTGGCTTTCCAAATGGTGGTGACTGCTCCTATACATGTAGTGCAACCTTTTTGAACCTCCATTAATAACTGCAATACATTTCTTAGTTGACTGTTGGTGTTCCAGCCAGATGATTAGACCACGTACACCTAATGAAAAACGCCCCCTCCCGGGACTGGGGAGGTGGCTCAGTGGGTAAGGAGTTTGCCATGCAAATGTGAGGCTGTGAGTCCTCAGCGTCCACGTAAAGGCAGGCGGGTAGCACTCACCAGTAATTCCACTGTTTCTATGGTGAGATGAGAGGTGGAGACCGGAGAATCGTCAGAAGCTTGAAGGCCAGCTAGCCTGGCTTATGCAGCAGTGAACAAGAGACCTCTCAAAAAAGGTGGAAGGTGAAGACCAGTGAGGTTGTCCTCTGATCTCCCCATGTGACCTCTGTCCTAACTCACACATACATTTTATGCACACACAGGAAAGTTTCTCCTCCTTCTCCTCCTCCTCCTCCTCC